GTAGGCATTTCGAAAAATTTTGTTTATACTTGAAAGCAATAACGTCTCGAATAGAAACGCAAAAAATTAAAACAAATAAAAATACGAAAAACTGACATAAATTTTTCAGAATGATAAACGCATGTAAGTCAAGGTCTACACTCAGAAGTTTGATCAATCTAAATCATCAATGTAGCAGATTGTTATAGGAGATTCTGCGGTGAAGGTGGAAAACTTTGCTCTTCCAATCTCCAAAACAGGTTCTTGAAGTGACGGAATTCCTGTGTGGTTCTTCTATTACGAGTTGGAAATCTTCTGATGGCTTTGGCTATCTATCTTAAATTTTAATTTTGGTCTTCCTCATTTCCAGACATAGTCAACAGGCTTCGCTCATTTCGAGCAAGAAATACACGCCACACCATTATATCCAGACGGCAGCTTTCTGAAAACCAGTGCCAAACAAGTGGAGAAGTGCGCGTTGAGTACCAGGATACTTATTTTTCCCTTACGGTATCGGTAGAAAGCAAAATACAACCAAGTAGAATAAGATAGATATTTCAAAAACATGGATATCACTTAAACCTTCGTTTCACTTTCAAAAGGGAAAGAGATGCTTTTCCTATCCTTGTTTTAGGATAGGAAAGTCTACTGGTTTTGAAACTATCACTTCCATGAAAGGAGTAAAAAGTAAAAATCTTTTATGGTGTTAGAATAAAAATGTTATGTGTGTTATTAAGTATAGGTGAAATAAAACAATAATTTTGATAAGAGACACCATAAAGACTCTTTGCTTCCTTCTTTCCTTTCTGTTTTTCCTCACTGCAAATCACCTTCCTTTTCCTTTTGCTCTATATAAAAATCTCCTATTTTCTAAATAGAACGAAATCTATTTTGTCTTAGATCTATATTAGCAAAACATCAATGCCCGATCCACTTGTTCTCAATTATGCTATTCGACTTCGACGAGCTACGATTACAGTTGAGTGAGATAGGGACCAGTACGGGCTGCAAAAAAACTGGCCCCTCGAGATTGAAATGTAACTAAATATTAATTTATAATTACAAAAGAACAGAATTAGATCATAACAGTAACAATAGTGAACGTACAATATATACAAATATATACAAGAATAGTTTTACACAATCGTACAATTTAAAATTTAAACCAAAGAATAGCTGTTATTTTCCATCAATGTGAACCTGTTTCTTTTGTCATATATTTGAAAATTTAATTTTAACAGTCAAAGTATTTGTGATGAAAGTTATATACAATAGTAGAGTGGATAACATAGACTGTAAATACGTGTTGTAATGTAATAGTTATTTTGTGCATGAATTGTTATAATTTGTGAAAGCCTCGTCATTGTTTACAATCTTTTCAAAATATTTTAAAAACAGGAAATGTCAAAACATGACTTGATTTCAATCTTTCTTTATTTTAGTTGAAAGAGAATGAAATAATTTTCCAGTTTTATTGTATTAAGTTGCAACTTAATTACACTACATACTACATATATTATTATGTTAACTTATTTTAAAACTGTAACAATATTAGTGAAAACTGTTAGGGGTCAGTTTTTTTTGCACTCCGTACTAGTGAAGTGTTACTCTGAAATGATATTTTTTCCATTGATATCAAGTCTGTTACTCTGAGATTCTTTTTCGGAATATTTGGTTACAACTCCACGTGTGTCAAGTCTGATTCTTACCAAGAGATGATGTCGATAAAAGCCAAAGATAAAATCTAGCAGAGCAGCACTATACTGTTTGAAAGTGAACGGGTGTATGCTTTTTTGTGTGCAACTTTATGGATTAGCTGTAAAAAGAGGGATGATGTAATTCAATACTAGCCGATAAAGAATAGCTTCTTGCAGGAGAGAGTGAACAATGTCAAATTCATCCAATTCAACAAAAATGTAGCATAAGTTTTATCACATGAGGCGCGTATTTATCCCCCTTCTTGTTGGTCGAGAGTGAAAAAACTAGGTTTTCTGATACAAATAACATGTGCAACCTGCGTATTCTCTCTTCAGCTGTCAAATTTACAATACTAGAAGCACCTCACAGAAAATCTTCGGTGCTTTCGCGATATATTCTTGAAAGGTTCAGCATGAACTCTGCAAAGATTTACTGGTTTTTTATCGAGGTAATGAATAAATCGTGAAGAGTTGGATAGTCAGAGAATTTCAGAATCCTGTCAAAGTTGGAAATAGGATTTGATCATGATCTTTGGTGATTCATTATCACTTTTGCACCAAACTGCTTACAAGAAACGACGAAATTCTATAGGAAGAGAATGGTCACGGATTTTCAAGGTTTCCAAAGAAGGGTGTGGGTGTGCGTGTGTGGGGTGGGTGTGGGGGTGTGAGTGTGCGTGTGTGGGGTGGGTGTGGGGGTGTGAGTGTGGGTGTGGGTGGGTGTGTGGGTGTGGGTGTGGGTGTGGGTGTAGGTGTGGGTATGGGTGTGGGTGGGTGGGTGTGGGTATGGGTGGGGGTGGGGGTGGGTGTGGGTGTAGGTGTGGGTATGGAGTGAAAACATGGATCGTCTTCTCACTCACAACCCACGCCCACCCACATCCACACCTAAACAGACTCACACCCACATTCACACCCACCCATACCGACACCGACACCCACACCCACACCTACCAAAACCGACACCCACACCCACACCCTAATCTCTGGTCTATTGAAACTGTTGGCATTGCTTGCAGGAGAGCTTCTTTGATTTAAAAAAATGAAACAAAAAGTAAAAAGAAAATGCATCAAGAGAAAAAAGAATAACGACAACCTAAGGCAAACGAATAATTTACTCTTTCTTTTCCAGGAAAAAAAACCAAAAAGAAATCAATAAATAGAGTAAATATTAACATTTTAAGTATTAATATAAATGTGTTATCGACTAAAAATTAAAAAAAAACATATTAGTTATAATATCATTCACACATTGGTAAAAATAATTAAGCAAAATCGATGAAGTCTTCTAAGCGATGTTTAAATTCTTCTTATGCATCATCTTAAGTATATAATTCTTTTCATTTCGTTAATGGATTCTATTAAAAAAACAACTTTTATTTTATTATCATGAACAAAACTATCAGCAGTTCATTTTGTTTAGTCTTCAGTATTGAGTATCAATACATTTATGTTGGTGTTCACTCATATTCATTAGAAAAATTTAGTTTGTGGTGAAAAAAACTAATTTTTGAAATATTCCTAAATAGTCTACCCGCAAATACGGATGAATCATCGAATCATTATCAAATCGTCAACATACTAATGCACTTGGTGGTGCTAGTTGTCTGTACATTTTTTCCAAGGTTCTCCTTAACACCAATTGTCACTAGATAGGAGATAGTTGTTGTGATGAACTCGAATTTTTCGGCCTCAGAGCTATTTCTGAGAAAACCATCAACTAACTGAGACCAATAATGAGCTATAGAAGGTAATGACCAATGAGAATAGCGCATAACGGCACTATTGTTATATAATACGCGACGAATTGATCATTATCTCTATATACAATCATGCCGTCAGAAGTGTTACATTGTGTTTTATGTGATCAACAGGAACGAGGAGCATGTTAAAAATTTACATCGTTGTAAATGTTGGAAAAATAATATTAGCTGTATTGTTTACTGCAAATGTAATGTTGATTTCTGTATTAATCAACCAAGTACTCAAATTCGTATAAAAATTATTTTATAAATTTACTTTTTTTTTCTTAAGAGCATCACATCGTTAACTTCAAATGATTGACTTACCGATGATAATAGTGATGATATACGTTCAACAGATGCATCTGTATAAAGTGATAGAGCATGTGATAATGATTCATTTATATCAGACTCAGACAGCATCTATAATTAGGTCAAAACGCACTATTTCCTACATTTCTTTTTCTACTTTCAGACTGACGACTCGGAATCTATGTGGGCAATTATGATCGAACTAGTGATAAACTCAATCTCAACAATTGTGTTATACTTCAGCAGCTGCTGTGCAAGATAATCTATCTCTTCATATACTTGAATATTTTTCTGATAGTTGTATTTATTTTTTGTGTTTTTTTTTTCTTATAATTGTACTTATTTTTCTTTTTTTGTATTTTTTACTGGAAAAAAAAATATTTGAAATAAATGTAACGATCAAGCTGATCGTCGAAGCTCAATATAGTTTTAATTCTACAAAAAATGAAATAGCCTAGTGATTACTTATTGTACGGAGCTGCCATATTGTGTTATCCGTCAATGTTGTAGCCACTACAGATGATGTACATTCTGATTGGTTAGAATGTGGCGATTATTTCTATGTTTAGACAATTTTTTGGAAAAAACTAGAAGCGCAGTTCGATAGAGAATAATTTTCTGGATCGACTGGTACCAATTTTATATTCGGCCCATTCCAAAAACTCGGAGGTCGCTACACGTAGTGCATTTGATATTGATTCGTTGAAATACACATCTTTTTTCTGCTCTGCGGGCATACTAAAACACAAACCATTGAAGAATATGTTTGACGATAAAATCTCTATAGATTCAACCAATCGAAGATGAATACAGATGTCACGTTTTTAATAATTCAAACAATTTCTATTTTTTATTCTTAAATCTTTTTCAAAATATATTTTATTAAAAATAAAAAGTCTAATTATAAGTTATTGTTATATTATAATCTTTGTTTTTATAATAATACATCTATTATTAAAATTCATGAAAGCTATTCTTCTTCCTCCATTAATTCTATTGATCGAAATATTTCTTTCAGTATTAGTCACAGGGAAAAAAACAGTCGTAGATATATATAACCTTCTAATATAGTCTAGAACAGCATCATCCATACAACACAACTATTTAAATATAAAGGATTATGCGTGCAAAAAATAAAACAATTGACTTAATTTGTTATAGATTGTTTGCTAAATAAGTGTTTTATCATTTTATTAAATAAGGAATTTCGTAAGTCTGATAATATTTTTTGTATAATATAAAAAGAACTTATTTTTTAGAATCAACTACTATAATGAATCAAGATCGAAATACGTACAATTCATCTTACCCACCATACGAAGGTTACCAACCTTATCCGACTCAACAACCAGCTGGATTTATGCCGTATCCACCTCAATCTGGTACCTCGTTCAGTTCAAATGATTTTTATGCTTTATTTATATGCTGTTTCAGGTGGTGGCTATGGTCAAAACGAGATGCCATTTCAAGTACCTCCTGTGTTGCCACGTCCAAACTTAGCCAAAGGTTAGTTGTATTTTAATAATTGAACTTAATTTTCAAACCTATTAACAGATTCTGGATAAACGGGCGTACCTTCAGGTTGTAAGTCTTTAAAAATAGATGCCATTTATGAAATTATTATTTGATGATGAACCATTTTCTAATTTTGTTTTATTTTTATTTTTCTATCTTCGAAAAAAATAAAATTGCTGCTATGCCTTAGTCATATTTATTCGTTCTCATGATCTGTGCAGTTATCTTATAGATATATAAAAAGAACTGATTCATGTCGAGTACTCATCATAGTAGCAACGAACGAGTTAAATTCAGGTCTTCATATCGCGGTAGAAATTTTTTCTTACAAATAAAGTGAAATACATTGAGGTTTTCCTTCTAATCATTATAAGAGGTTAACGTGAATCTTAATATTCTTTTCTCTTTCTTTCAAAAATAGATCAGACATTATTTTACAATATGATGTTGAGTACGACTGTATAAAGTCTTCTGTTATTGAAATGAGCTTCAGCTTTGTTTGTTGTGTACACTACTTGGCTACATTGTGTTCTTCACATAAAACAAAGCAATTCTCGCTCGCAGCCTTATGGCAATTCCATTTATCTTAAAGAAAAAACAAGAAAAATGACAGTCGCTATTGAATTTTTACTGGAGAACAATTTTTTTTACATATTTTTCTAAAATTTCTGAATATAAGTAACTGCTCTATTCTGGTTGCTTACATTTCGTATTCTTTGTCTGAATGTTTACTTTTCGGTTTGAACTAATTTATTCGCTGCTAATCAAACTTACTGTATCTTTATTTCAACTTCAACTTAATGCTTCCAGCTCATATAATCAGTCACTATGGTGTTATATTTCTACTTCATAGATGCCATATGAGAAAATGTGGTGTTGTAAGATTCTTTTTGCATTTATTCTCTCATAGATTCAATATTTCTTTGAAACTAGCAGTGAGATGAAGATCTAAAAATGTTGAGCTCGATAGACTATATCGATCAATATGCATATAAAAATCCGAAGCCACAAAAAAAAACAAATACATTAACAGAACCAGTTTGTGAGTGAATATAATCGTTAAGATCACATAGATGAAAAAGTACCACAAGTAAAATCTTGAAGAGGATTTCCTACCTTATGTTTAAATGGACAGCAAACAAAATCCAAATAGAGAACATCTGATAAAATCACGGTAACCTATGCGCTCGTCAACCAGCACTTTTATTTTTGTATATCACTAATGTACTATTTAAACTTTCTCTTTCGGAAGGAAGGTTTTCAAGATTGACGAGATCGAGCATTTGTTTTCGTAAGCATTGACACAGGATATCATACAATAAGCACAAACTCTTGTAGAACCGAACTGATTTTGGAAGTAATGTCGCCATCTTTTTGTCCCTCATACAGAATAAAGTACTGAGCACCAGCATATTTAATTGATAAGACGTACAAAATATTCGCTCGTAAAAATTAACGATCAACAGTTTCATCTGTTGTACCCAGTGACCTTTTTTACTTGAACAACTTGCTTTCATTTTGTTTTTGTTCTTTACTTAGAAATATAAATGCAAACGTCAGGATCCTTTCGTATTGCTGATAAGTATTCTTTGTAACTGTTCAACAAGCCAATTAAATTATCTGAGTCAGTAACAGAACAGTTTTTGATAGTCTTAAACATAGAATCCAAACCATTAGACAAAAGAAAAAAGTTCCAAGTTGTAAATATTTTATATCGATGATAGTTAGTGCTGATTTTGGTCTCTTAGTTTAAGCAATCGTGTAACACATATAAATTGTTAAGATGAAATAAAAATAATCGAGTTTCTAATATAAAAAGAAATAAAATACAATGTGATATGATTATGTATTCATGTTGAAAAATATAAATTAAGTGTTTGCTTAAAATCTTCTACGCATTCTTCGCTAATTTATTATTTGAATAATTATGTTTTTAATTATGTTTTATATTTTTCTGTTTTTGAAAAGATAATGAACCAGGCGAAGGTCAATGGGGAGATTTTACTGGTCTTGAAAGCAAAGAAATTCGTCGTGTATTTATTAGAAAAGTTTGTAAAATCGATGCACACAACAAACAAAATTTTAATTTTTTTAAATTTTATTTACGATAGGTTTATTCAATTCTTATGATTCAATTATCGATTACATTTGGTCTGATTGCTTTATTTCATTTTACGTATGTTAATTGTTTCTAAAACGAGACATTGAAAACAAAATATTTGATACATCATATAGGCCATCAATTCGTGAATACGTGAGAAGTTCCAATGGTCAATGGCTTTATTTCACATCATATGTTGTCTTTCTGGTTACTTATCTTGCATTGGTTTGTTCGAAACGTGCAGCACGAAGATTTCCGCTCAATCTTATTTTACTTGGCATTTTGGTAAACTAGAAAATAAATTTAATTACAAAAAATAAAATTTTTGATTTTAGACATTATCGATGGGTTATATGGTACGATTCGATTCAAACATTATTTATCTATTCATTTTTTTGTGAATACTTTAGATGGGCATGATTTCTGCATATTATAAAATCGAATCTGTCTTAATTGCTGTCGGTATAACAGCATTTGTTTGCTTGGGTGTTACTTTATTTTCATTCCAAACAAAATATGATTTTACGTCATGTTTTGGAGTTTTATTTGTTATTTCATTGGCACTTTTAGGTTTTGGAATTGTTTGTGCTTTTACTTATTCTAGAGTTAGTATTTTAGTAGAACAAACACCTATGTTTGTTTTTCTAAAAATATTTATTTGTTTAAGGTAATGTATACAGTCTATGCTGGTCTTGGAGCTGTGGCTTTTTCGATCGTAAGTTTTATTTGTAAGAAATCAAATGAAATTATTTTCTATTGTTAGTTCTTGGCTGTTGATACGCAATTACTTATGGGTGGAAAACGACATGAAATAAGTGCTGAAGATCATATTTTTGCATCACTTATGCTGTATATTGATATTGTTTATATATTTATGTATATTCTTACTTTATTTGGCAACCGAGAATAAAGTTATCGTCGAGCAATGATGTTCCAACATTTATTATATTAATCATATATATTATCATGCATGTTTTTTTTTTGTCTTCATTGTCTCTATATTCTTTTTTCTTTCAATTTCCTATTGAAATTACAGCTTGTGTTTCTATAAGATTTCAAATATGAACATATAGATATATATATATATAATCATGCGTGTAAAGAAAAACGAATTTATATTTGTGCGTCTTTGTTACGTAATCATTGTTTGGCAAACAAAAATAAAGAAAGAAAACGTTTATTTGGAGTGTAATTACAGAGCAGCTCGATTGACCTGTTTCCCATTGTTACTTTTGCTTAAAACCATTGCCAGTTGCTGTTTTTCAATACCAACACATAGCAAGAAAGTACATTACCTGAGTCCATTGCCTAGACATAAAAAATAGCGAATATATTTCAGATAACAAAAACTACATAAGAAAAAAAGAGACTAAATCTTCTTACTAAATGTGCACACAAGAAGCATCGCATTTTTGTTTCTCCTTCATTTTCTTCGTGAAAACACATTTAACTTCAATTAAAACGAGCTCTTGAATACTCAGACAACAATTGAAATTATAACCGTTTATACGTAGAAAACTAACAGAACAATGAGAACACTGTTTACTATTTGTATACATTCTAATAAGGATTTAGTCTCTTTTATGCATTTTTTGTTGTCTGAACTCGAGGGTGGAGGTGAAAATAAGACTTACATCCAACATACTTTTGTGAAGTTTCTAGAAAATTGATTCATCGCATCAGATGACAATCAATCTAAATTACAACTTAACAATTAGTTCATCATGGTCATTCCAAAACATATATTTCAGTTTTACGATCTTGTTAGTAAAGAAATGTCGAGCTGTTGAATAGTGATATAGAGAGGAAACAAAAATATAAATCGGAATTTTCAAAAATTTTGCACTTATAATACAGATATCATGGATAGGACAAGCAGCTCATGATCGAAGATGATACTATAAAAGGGCCAGTAACATAACAGTGATACCAACAGTTGGAAAGGAAGACAGATAAAATGCTCATGTACTAGATAGCCATTAAATGTTGCTAAACACCTAGCATTGCGTAAACTTTGAGTTCAACAGAATTATTTTCATTATTTCGTTTTTTCTGTTAAACTGTAGAGAAAATTAATTAAAGCAGTAACCATAAAAAACGATCGATGTTTTATTTAATGATCAAGCCTTGTTGATACAAAACCAAAAGATGCAAAATCCGCTAATGAATCTAACTGTGCGCTGATATTACATAAAACACGAAGGATTTGAGCAAGATACTCTTCAAAATGATCGTATAAATCAACAAGAGTTATAAATAATGATGAAAGATGATAAAAATTATTCACGGACTTAGTAAGAAGTAAACACTACGTCTTAAATGAGCTGATGTCAATACATGTGGTGTATCGCGAACGATTTTTTAAGCATATTCATCGGCTTTTGAAAACTAAATAATAACTTCCGTGTTTGTTTCTCATGATCTTTCATTTTTACTCGCTATCTTTAATAATATTATTTGATTTATCCTATGATTGAATCTAGAACTCAAGCAATTACTCATGTAACTTCTAAATGCAGTCAAAGCGTGTTGTTGAATAGAATTAAACATGGTTGGTCAAGAAGGTAGTAAAGCAAAGCACCGAGTGCAGTTTATAGATATGTTAAAACGCGTTTAAACGTATTCAAGCGAATACATTTGCCTAAAATACCTTTGTACGCGTTTCAAAAACAAGAAATTTTACTTTATTGTTAAATAATTGCTGGCAAATTTGCAAGTTTCAATATTTTTTTCTTTGTTTTCTATGACATGTTGTACATTTATCTGGGAATTCATCTGTTCTTCATGATGGTGTGGGTGTGGATGTGAATCTGACTGAAGAGGTAATGGTCATTCATACCCATACCTACCGCTTGCCCCGTACCCATCAACACTCATAACTACACTTACATCCTACAAAACCTTAGTGAAGATTGGAGAGATTGTGGCTACGGGTTGGTTTGGAGAAACCAGTGGATGTGGGTATGAATATCTGTCATATGTTGAGGCACACTCATATCCATACCCGTGTCGCGATAGTGAGTGTCGCTCGAGAGCAACTCTCACTGAGAAGCAACATTCTTGCTATTATGTGGTTCCGATGGTGCTTTCATTAGTTCTTGAAAAAATAAACCATGGCGGATAAAAATACTCTCTCGAGCAGGCACAATTCTGGCAGACTTTGGTTCTATACAAAACATCATGGTATACATCACCGTTAGCGAGAAAAGCTGCCCACCAACCAAATGTTCCTGCTGTTATAATTGAGTGCTCGCAAGTTGCTAAAACTGCTAAATCTTCAGCCACATTGAAAAAGTCCGGTGTGATTATAGTATTTGCTAGGTTACTAAAATATTGTCGGCAATAAGATTTATCATCACTTGCGATCACAAATATCGGTGATGGATATTTCTGGGCAAAGTATCGCATTCCAGATAGAACAAAGTGGTGTGACGAAGCGATTTTTATTCTAGTAAAGTCTCCTCGGCGAATATGTATACCAATCCATGTGTAGTCAGAGTCAATCAAATAGTGCTTCACCTGTTGAAAGGTAAGATTGATGTCCTGTACATATTGCCTACGATTCGTAAAGCCGTTGAAATCTATTCCGCAATTCTTCGTTAATCGAAAAGAGTTATTTTGTGTTTGCTTAAAGCATTCAGCAATAAACTTGTGAGCCACTTGATAGAAGGTAGTAATAGTGTTGATTATTGAAGCTTGAAACGAGAATTGTTGTCGAATTTCATCGGAAAATCGTGCGAAATAACCGAAAGCTTGCCAGTAACCTACAAGTTCTAAATGTTTCACCGCGTTCGGCAGCATTAGATCGTGATAGAAACGGCAAATTGAGAATCTCTTCTCAACATTTGTGATGCTGTTCGCCTGAACACTAGTAATTGCGAATGGTACATTGATTTGAAACACTGAAGACAATTCGGTCACAATACGATCAGCTAGTAATTATACAATGCCTACGCGATCAAATTATGCAAGGTTATGGATCCCTATTGTCCTGTAATCAGCGATTAGACTAGAATAAGAGCACAGCTATGAACTCAGTCAGTATCTTAGACCTTCCTCATTCCGACTGCTGCATTTACCTCTTCCCAATTTCAATGTGACGACTACTGACAATTACTTGAAACGTTTGCGATTGGGAGTCCTATCCAATCAAAAGCAAGTAGTAGTCGAAAATGAAGTTTTACTTTCAACGTTTTTGTGCTTTGTCAACTGTCAGAAATAAGCAAAATCAGTTCGCGAACATAAACTTATGTAATGATTAACACCGCATGCAATATTCTTTTTTACTTTATTCACTGCATTATCTTTTTCCTTCTCTGTTTCAATTTGAATCCTGCTTCTAGTAAAGAATACTTAAAAGTAAATTTCGAGAAAGTCAATGACTTCGTCCTACTGAGAACCGCCGATATTCTCGCTAGATCACCACCCTAGCAGTTGAGGTGTGGATGAGTGCGATGTTATGTGTCGGGTGTGTATGGGTGCGGATGTGGACGTGAATGTGGATGTAATTAGGGCAATCCAAAAGTAGTGGCAGTAGCATTTTAATTCCCTATAACAATTTTGAAGAAATTTTCTATCTACATAGTCTGATAGAGGAAAGAATGCTCTATTTTTCTATACTATTTGGTCATACTTCAATTAATATCATAATAATAAGATTTTGATAAGATCTGTTTTGTTCGCATGTATCACAGTTATATGAGTGCTAGTGAGTGTTTTTCGAATAACTTTTGATGGAACAATTATAGAGAAGTGCGGTTTTCACTGTTGAAAAAAGACGAAGATGCATCGAATTGTATATTACAGATTTTTATAATTTTGATTTCTGAAATATTTTTATCAAGTTTTCTAACTGCCTCCAAAATGTTTTTTTTCTTTTTTATGAAAAAAGGAAAAATCAGAAAAAGTGAGCTTTTTTCAAAGACTTTGCTGAAAAGTATTATCAGTTGCTCGACTACAATTCAAATTATTCATCTCAACTTTCGGCACTTACTAGATTTTCGATGAGTAATTTGAATTGAAATTTGAAAATTGAAAATTCACTGTAAAAAAACTCGCTAGATAAGTTTGCTCTTAAGAGGGCCGATTGAAAACCTTACAAAAAACAGATTAGGAAAATCTGGAATATACGAGTTGATATGTCTTCATCTCCTCTTTCCCATAGTGAAAACCACAGTTCTTTATCTTGTTTTTATCAAAATTTATTTGAAAAATACTCATTTGTATTGTTTAAGATGAGTATTGTTGCAACTAGCAAATAGACCGGCACACACAGATCTTATCGAAATTTTATTATCATGATATTAATTGAAGTATAATCAAATAGCATAGAAAAATAGAGCACTCTTTCCGTTATCAGACTATGTAGATAGAAAATTTCTTCAAAGTTGTTATGGGGAATTGAAATACTACTGCCACTACTTTTGGATTGCTCTAAGTAGATGTAGATGTGGGTAGCTGAGTGTAAGTGTGGGTATTATGAGAACATCTACATCTGTACCCATCCCACATTCCCAACTAATACCCACATTCACACCCACGCTCACCCAATTCTTATGTCCTTTTAGTCGTTTTACTCCCTTTAGGCCCCTTAAAACTAGTTAGTCTCTTTAGCCCCTTTACTATTTTCAGTTCTTTTAGGTTCCTAAGCTAGCCATACAGAAAAGGCGTTAGAACGATTAAAAGGACGAATGGAATCTAAATTGACTTAAAGGAACTAAATCTTTCAATAGACATATAAAGACTAAAGGAATCGATAATGACCAGAAGGGTTAAAGTGATCTAAAGAGACTAACAGGACCAAAAGAGCTAAAGGTGCGTAAAAGGACTAGAAAGGCTGAAGAGATAGGTTTGAGGGTCTACAAGTAAGACAGAATAAATGTTTTCTTCGTGATTCTCTCTCGCTTTTAT